TTTTTTTTTCTTTTTTTCTGTCCTTTAAAGACTTTGAAAAGCAGTAACTTGGGCCCAGTATTTACTGAGGCATTGTTGTGAGTGTGTCCCATGCATAACACACAACTGGATAATGAGTGCTGCGCTGATGTGTATAAGGCTTTTACCAGAGACATTCCTCTCCAATTTGGTTTTGAAATCCTCTTTGAAAAGCCTGCATCCGGGAGTCCACCTAGTTATTTCAATTCACCTCCATTAACCAAGAAAACCAATGGAAGATTTCTTGACTATTTCACCATGTTGCCAATCAATACTGGAGTAGCAAAAAAATATTTTCTGGAATACTGTTTTGTAATTCCCTCACTGGGGTACCGTTGTGTAGCTGGAAATTCTCTTTATAATAATAATAATTCCTGAGCTCCAGCTTGGCTATCACTTTCATGAAATGTGGCCACTCCTCCTTATGAATGCTGTTCCATTAGCATTGCCAGCTAAAATATTAAAATATGCATTTGGGCTTCTCCATTCCTTTCTTTTGAGAACCTGATGCACAAAGAACTCCTCTGTTCTTTCCAAGTCCCACCACTGGAAGAATGGTCTATAGACCCAGCGAAGACAGCGACATGATTAGAGGGACTGCTGTTCAAAAAGTTAACACAATCTTAATACGCTGGAAATTTTAAACTGTGTCAAGTCGGCTTAGCAGAGATTTAGCTATGCCAGTGAGCAGTGATTTTAACTTTTTTTGGCTGCTTAAAGAGGGCAGCTATGAACTATGACAAATGTAGATTTTTCAAAGCAATACAGAATATTAAAACAGAGGAACCTTAATGAATATAAACCACACAGTCTCTTAGCCATTCCAAAAAGAGGCAAAGCAATTATTAGTATTTCCTTTTTAAAATAATTATTAATATGATTTTGTGCACTTCATACTGTCACTTTTTAAATACTGCAGAAAAGAGATTTAAAGATATACTAGAAATACATGTGCTTTAATAGGCTCATATAGGTAGAATTCATAGCTCAAGACCTGCATCCACAGTCATCTCTTTCTTCTTCTCATTACAATTGTCCTCAGGTGCCAAATGTTTTTTTGTGTTGTTTTGTTTTGGTTTGGTTTCGTTTCGTTTCGTTTCATTTTAAATTTTAAAATAAAGATAGTAATAAAAGGAGGAGGTGTCCTATAAATTTAAAGTTCAGTTGATCCAGCCTTATACTAAAGCTAGCCTTATGAAAAAGATTTGCTGTGAGGCAGAAGTATATTTTTAGCAGAAAGAAAAATAAATGAAACCTTTTTCCTTGAGCTCAATATCCTTATATTGGCATGTATTTTTTTATTTCATATCTACTTTAAAAAAGGAATTGAGAAATGGAAATATATCCATTGGTGTAATTTATCATGCCCCACTTTTAAAAGTTATAGGAAATATACTTCTTGATTTTCCTTTACTTATATCTGTTCTTATATTAAATTTAAAATCAAATCTCCCAGTATAAAATGTTAAAAGCTGATATTAGTTTACTAAAATATAAACTTGAAAATCAAACTTACCATACCACATTTGAAAATATCATCAGAGCACCCTGAACCCACATATTATAATGAGACTCTTGAAGCAGAGTGAATTTAGCTAAGCTTTATAGTTTCATTGAACGTGAACTCTGCCTCTACTTAAAAAACAAATGTAAATATTTTGATTAACACCCTTCAATCCTCATGAAAAGGGTGGCATTCACCTGAGGATTACCATTTTGATTTCTTAAACATTGAAACCTTTCCAAATATACTCAACTAAGTTTTAAATTCGTTTCCCATGACTTTAGGTTGATTTCCATTTTATTCTCAAGTGTAAGTTTCACCGTGTTGACCAACAGAATATTTTTAAAAAACTTTCTCCATGATCAAATTTCTCTTCTAAATTTTTAGTAACATATTTCTTTAAAAAAATACACCACTTTATGAGAAAATTCATCAGAAATTAAAATGTAATACAAATAAATTGCTGTCTGATAATGCCATATGAAATTATAATCAACTGTAATAAGAAAAATATTCATCCAATTAGAGGAGAACAAGGTGTACTTTTCTCTGTGTTTTTATGCCCTTTGCCCTTCATTCAATACATTCTATAATGCATAATATTAGTAATGCACTTTTGGGATCTTTTATTTTGGAATGATGCTAACTCTGTCTCTTTGCCAATTCTAATACCAGGTTCCAAGTAATAAATCTACAAGGAAAACTGAATATTCATTCTAGGGCTAGGATATGAACTTCGCAATTCATTTGGGTACCTATTTTCATTGAATTTCCTTGAAAACAGTCTGTTCCTGGTGCCCAGTGATCACTCAGTTGGACCAGCATGACTAAAAGGAAGGGGAAAAGACAGTGAAATGCTGAGATTCAGAAAAGTGACCCTAAAGGACAGTTTGGTCCAAGGATGAAAAGAAGAAGACCTACTTTGATCGAGTTATATGGACCATCTAAGGAGTCCACTCACTCTTCTGTTCTGGGAGAGGAGTAGGGGCAGCCTGAGAAGACCCTATGTGGATTGGGAAGAAGCTTCTCTCTGGGTTAGGGGTGGGGAGCAGAAGGGAGTACGCAAAGGAAAACCATATGAGATTTGACTGAAGTAAAGAAAAACAGTAAATCCCCGAATGTACTAATCCTTGTTAGTAAAAGTCTTTCCCAAACTTCTGCTGTTACCAGCAAGTGATCAGGAAGACTAGGAGCTATTTCTGACTGTGAATGAATTGTGTAATGGCTCTGCTGCAGTTCTGTGACTTCCAAACCAGGAATTAACCACTTTTTAAGAAAAAACAAAAAACAAAAAAACAAAAACAAAAAAACCCATTTCCTATGCTAGTCTCCCAGCAAAATGTACATGTTTTGGAGACTTCAAAAGTATTATCTGAGTTCACATTTAGCCACAGCTTATTAATAACCCTCAAGCTGTCAGAATCTCTATAGTTACCATTTACAATTTTATACTGTGAAAAAAATACAGATCAGTGAAAAACATAAAGATAAATTGAAATTCACTTTTAAGAGGGTCTGAGGCCTGGGAGATTCTCTACTATCTGTTGAAGAGTGAGGCATGTATAAAATAGTTGGCTGAATTTCACTGATCTTCCCAATGTGAACAAATATACTATGTATATTGTGTGTATTTCTAGAATTCAATGGCAGCTGCTGGTGGTGTTGTAATTAGAAATCTATATAGAATATAGATGTTTTAGAGAGATGGTGCCAATCCTAAAAGATTTGTGTGGGCTACAAGTGCTTGTACTTACTTTTTTCTGCACTTTAACGGATTTGGTTTTAAAATTGTGTGCGCGTATCTGTTCTTTTTCTGTTGTTGCAGCTTGTACTATTAAAACAATAGAGAATGTTAAATTATTTTGATGTGAATTGCAAATGATTTTTTTCATAAAGTTTAACATTTTTATCAGCATTGTTTTGCTTTGTACTTGTATAAATGTGTTTTATTTTAGCCTTCAAAAGTACACTTGCCTGTTTCTCAGTTGTCTAAATCATGTTATAGTTGGTGTTTGTGAAGTCAGTTACTTTTTGAAAAATATTAAAAAAGAAACTATGGTATGACTTTAAGATTCTTCCCCTTAAATGTTTAGAATGTTGTCTTAATAGTGTTTTCTAAGACCCAAAGAGCCATACTATTAATTAATCTTAAATTCTGAATGATATATACATTCAAATTATGGGATTGACAAAGTAGCCTATGGACAATAGATTAAATTAAAAATGTAAACCAACCATAAACCAACCCAAGATGCTGTCCTCAAAGACATCTACAAACACCTTTTAAGACAAATATTTTTTTAAAAAAACAATGAAGCATGTAGGGATTATACCTTGCTTTTGTGTCTGGAAATACAAATACGAATTATAGTGCCACAATTATCTGTGTTGGTAGAGGTTACATCATAAAAATAATATAGATTATGTGTGTTTATGTATCTGTGAATGTCTGGATGTATATACAAACAACACACATCTGTGTAGATTTTTTCCTTTTGAGTCCATCTGTGTATGTGTTTCTGTGTGTATGTTTGTGTGCGCATGTATGGGCATATCTGTATAATTTTACCAGAAAAAAAAAATTACTTGTGAAATCACTTTCTACTTTGATGGATTCTTAAGCAAATTTACACTCCTTGAACACAAATTATCTGAAACCTAAAAGCATGATGTGTGGAAGAGAAAAACAATGTAGACTTTAAAACATAGCTTCTCTCTGCTTCTCTACATTGTATTATTTATACACATATAATATGTATATACATATATTCTTATACATATGGAAATTGATACAAAATATGTTTGATCTTAAAAAAGAAAACCATTTTGTGTGCTTTGTCAGACTCTCCTGCTTCAGTGTCTTCTATTGTGAAGTAATACAATTGGGCATATATTTATATAAACTTAAGGCTAAGGTGAGATGACTGAGGTGAGATATCTGGACCACATACAGCAAATCATTTTCTAAAGACTAAATGAGTCTTGTAAGACTCCATAGACTCATGGTAGGACAGTCAAAACCAGCTGATGTGATAGAAATGGCAGTGAATTAAAAAATCCATTACCCTGACCCATATAACTTGGAAAAATTACCTTGAGTTCTCTATAACTCAGTTCCTCTTTCTTTAAATGCAGAGATGAATTACAATAATCTGTGAGATTTCTTTCATATCCAGCATTTCTGGTACATGAAAAATGCTCAATAGATAATAGTTATTATTAGTGGCAATATAGAATTTATAATACAGTTAATATTCATCTTAAATATATGGAATATTACTATAAAAAATTCTTGTCCCTCTTAAAGTATATATCACTGTGGGTGGGGGGGGGGGGCGGGGGAGGGGGCTGGTAGCCTGTTGAGGTTTGAACTCATGCAACCTTGGCACTGTCCATTTAGGATGACTTAGCAAATTGATCTTAAACACCACAGAAAGAATGCTTTTCTTCTGTTATAATCTATGCTGAACACTGGCCAATTTTTTGGTTATACTGTACATGAATGATCAGTTTTTAAAAACAATTCTCAATCATTTACTTTTTAGTGTAGTTAGCTAGATACATAGGTAGATAAATAGATTATATTAATGAAATTATCTCCTTAGAAACCGTATAGTATTTACTTTTTTTCTCAAAGTATTTTGTAATTCAGAATCAGCTACTACATTTCACCCTGTTTATTATTTTTAAGAAGTATTTTGGAAGATAAATTCTGTGAAGAAAACCTGGAGACTCAGCTTATATGGCCATTCTTAGAGTCCTAAACAAAAAGTATTATAGAAAAACTTAACCTCCACATAAACGAATAGTTTAAATTAACTTTTACTCCAAACCAAGAGCATTTATTTTTGCCATGACATATGAGTGTTTTTGAGGTTTATGACCCATGTAAACATTTATATAAACAGGCTAGTCATGTGGTATAAATATATATATATATATATATATACACACACACATATATATCAGACACATTTGGCTTATTTACATATAACTTGTATCTTTACCAGTTGTCACAAAATAAAGCTTTACATAACTATCATGCTTCTATAACAGGAAAAATGCTAAATAATAAATTATATGATATGTCTATGAAAATGACATAATGCAGTAAATTGGCTTTCTGAACTGCTAAATAGTAATAGGTGTTTCATAAAATAAAAGATTTTAGAGTTTTAAAGGTTTGGAAAACCTAATAGCTCTAAGTTAAATGGATACTTTTCCTTAAGAACTTTAAATATGCTAATGTATATTAACTCTAGAATTTTATTTTTTATGAACAGTCTCCTCTGAGTCCAGCTTCATAGAATGAATTTTGAAAATGCTGATATAAAATTTATAATTTGTACACACTTTCTTCTTTCAGTCTTGAAAATTAATTGCTCTTTCCATAATTATCTCCTAAGACTTTTAGAGAAGAAAATCAGGATTGATAGTGTCACCTTCAGAGACATTTTACTGAGCCATGGGAAGTCTTAATTTTATTTTCAACTTTCCTCCTATTTGCTGATTTCTCAGGGTTCTTCCAGCACATTAACTTTACTCTTAGGGATCAAGCTGAAGATTTTCTTTTCCCTTTTTTTTTTTTTTCTTTCTTTTTTGTTTTTGTTTTCACCAGACATGTTGGATGTCTCCAACAGCTTTGGATGAAGCAATAGATGACACAGTAGCATTAAGAGATGTGAAGTAGCCAGTGGACTCTGTGCCAGGAGCATTAGAAGACCATAAGAGTGTTATCCAGAAGTCATTTTAGAAAATTTTTTCAAGTTTTTTTTTCCAATTTACCTAAATAAAGCCAAGTTACATAGGCATATCTATTACATATACTATATTAATGCATTTCTACTCTGACATGTTCAAATAATGATTTGTACCTTTTGCTTCCCTGTGTATTGTGGTACTGTCACATACTTGTCTCTGAAGACCTCAAATCACATCATGAACCCTAGTATATTCACCTCACCCTACACTCCAAGTAGATATTAAAAACTCTAAATGTATACAGAGAGAAAAGTTCTTATTCTGGGAGGCCAGTGCCCACCCTCATAATCTAGGACAAATCAGCAGCAAAATTAGGTCAGTAAGAGAGAAGCCAGTAGAAATGCTTTCTTGCTCTTTGCATAGTAACAAAAAGCCCCAAATTCAATTCCTAAGAAATAAGGGGCTGAGATAGAGCCATTACAAATGGACAAAGTTGGAGTGAAAGATACAATAAAAATACGAGTAACGATGGCTAGGCCAACAAACAAAAGCCCAAATAAATTAAAGCTGAGGCCTAAAGAAAATAATGTAATTGTGTTACTGAATGACATAGCACCTTCAGTGAACACAATTCTTGCATATGCAAAACATTGAGACAGACAAATGTTAAATAAAAAAAGGTGGGTGTAGGAATATTAATGTCCAACAAGAAATAATTCAAAGTGAAATTAATATAGAGGGTCAAAAGGGATATTTTGAATTGGTAAGAACCTACTCAGAATATAGAACAGTCCTAAACCTATGTGTACTTAGCAATATGGTTTCAGAACATATAAAGCAAAGACTAATAGAAATATCCACACACAAAAATTCCACAATAACAACCTTTTTAATATACTGAACTCACAAATACATCAAGAAGCCAAAAGAAAAAAAATGAAATAAAATTTAGATGAATCAAGTAACAAATACCATGAATAATCAAACTTATTTAGAGCTTTGTTCTTTTCATTCTTTTCATCATCCATGAAACGTTTATAAACATTAATCTTGGATTTTACCACAAAGGAAATCTTAACAAATCCCAAAAAACAAAAATCATATAGTCTACATTCACTGACTAAAAAAATAAATTGTGAAATTAAAGAAAAAGATATGCAGAAGAAATATGTTCATTTGGGATCTCTTTTCTGAGATCTTTTTTTTAGTATGAAGAGGAAATCTTAACTGAAATTACACCCTACTTAGAAATGAACAATAGTAAAAACCTTGCATATTAACATCCGTAGAGCCACTAAAGAGTACTCCAAAGAAAATATTTTACACTAAATGTGTACATTAAAAAATAGACCGAGAGTAAATTAAACATTCAACTGAATATGTTGAAAAATAAGCAACAAGACAAAGAAAATACAAATAATTAATACTGATTAAGTCAAAATTAATATAAGAATGCAAATAAATAACAGAAAATTAAAAGTGATCATTAAAACCAAAGTCTTCTAATTTGAAAAGACCAATACTTTGACAAACGTGTCAAATTTAATCAAGTAAAGAGAGACAAACCACAATTAGTAGTAAGAAAGGAGTCAGAGCTACACATATAGAGAGTACATATAAGGAAACACTAGGTAAAACTTGATACTAATAAATCTGAAAATATAGGTGAATATTATGCTAGGAAAACATAAATTATCTAATTGAAACAAAAATAAATAGAAAATGCAGAAAAACTAAAAATGATAAAAGATCATGAAAGAAATTTTAAATGACTCTAAAAGGCATATACCTAAATATTTTACAGGTGTATTTGATTATGGAATATAAATATAGAACATGGAAAAATGTGGAAATATCTATAACTCATTTTATTAGGCTTTTATAACTCTGGAACACAAATCAGGCAAGGTGGGAAATAGTTATATAGGTTATTCTCATAAACATAGATTTTAAAATCCCAAATAAACTATACATCAAATTGTGAAATTTGATACACTAGTAATACACCATGATAAATATAGTTTATCGTATTTTTGTTCAATATTAGAAAATCCATTACCATAGTTTACTAGATTAACATATTAAGAGAAAAAATATAACCTATATAACAAGTATGATAAAAACACTTGATAAGTCAATGCCAATTCCTGATCAAAATAAAACAAAGTAGAGACTAGAAAGTTTCTTAAGATTAAAAAGAAATCTGCTAGAAACATATAGCAAACATGATATTGATAGAAAAACATTAGAATTCCCACTAAGTCAGGAATGAGAGATGTATGCCATTTATGCACAATTTCTAAAGTGACTATGAAATTTTTGCCTAAAACAGAACATTTCTGAGAATTAAAGTGTAAGCATTAATTATGTTAATTAACACAGTGGCTTTACCTGGGGCAACTACTTGCACCTGCACTGTTCTGGGAAAACCAGATCAGGCTCACTCTAACTCACTACTATTGTGATACTTGAAGTGCTAGATAAAATCTAAGTCAAGAAAGAGATAGTAGATTTTAATAATTTAAAGAAACAAATCTATTAGCAGATTCATTAACCTATAAGATCTGAAACATGGAATAAAATCTTAAATGTAATGTGGAAAGACAAAAAACAAAAAAGTAGTGATGAGTTTGTGACTTTGGGCATGTGATTTCATGTCACAGGTTGTTCATGAGCACTGTAAAATCTGCTAAACTAGTAGAGAAAGTTGAAGACATAAACATAGTAATTTTTTGATTGTGAAAAGAAAAAGAACAGTAAAGTGTGCCTGACAAAGAGGAAGTAAGAGGGAAAGGTGTGGGTGAGATCCACATCTTGAAACACTTCCCAAGGATGTTTCCAAAGAAAAATTTGAAGGCTAAATAGGACTGACCCAATGCATACAAGAGAAGAAAACTTTTAGGCACAAGGAACAGCACATCTACTGACACAAGAAAGTACCTGGTGTGTTCAAGAAGGTTCACCATTAGCTTAATTTGTCTAGGCCTTCTTGGGAGAATTAAATGAGAAAATATACATGAAGTGAAGTGCACAGTGTTTGGCACAGAGTATGTTCCTGCAATGCTAGTTGCTGCAGTAGCAGTAGCCATATAGTGATAGTAGTGTTAGATGTTTAGACTTAATAAAATATCATATAAAGTATGAAACACATATGATCCTACGCTAGTGCAAAATTGGTTATTGCTACTTTTATTCCTGAGCACATATGCATCTTTCTCTAATAGTTGGAACACAAATAAATTCAACCAATCAGAATTCATAAGGATCCTAATCATCCATGGTTCTCTCTCTCTCTCTCTCTCTCTCTCTCTCTCTCTCTCTCTCTCTTTCTGTCCCTCTCTCTCACATATGCACAAGCTCACAACCATTTACTGTAGCAAATATCAGAACTAAATGTAAGAAAGAAGTTGATATAAACATTTACAACCAAATGAGATTAAATGAAAAGGTGAATTAGTAAATCACTTCTGGTTAGTAACTAATAAAAATAAATAACACCCAATAAGAACATAAAAGAATGGGAGGGAATGTAGCAAAGACTTGGCATTTGAATTGGGATACTTAAAACTGGGAAGGGAAAAAAAGGAAGGACTTTAGAATACAAACTACATTGTGTATGACTTTGGTAAAGAGCCTTCTTCAGTTCTGGAGCTTTCTCCACGCAGATAATCCCCCTTCCCTAGACCTTCTTTTTTCTTCTGTAAACCAGAACAGTTGTTTTAGTTCAATGTTTCTAAGATTTTCAGTTATGCAAGGGCTTATATGCCATTAATTTCTCTCTTTTTTTATTGTGGCAATAGCATTTATCATGAGATCTACCCTTTCAAAAAAATTTTTAAGTGTATAACACAGTATTGTTAACTATAGGCACAATATTGAACTCGACCAGGAAAAAGCTCTCTAGAACTTTTTCTTCTTGTGTTACTAAAACTATACCCAATGAATAGCAACTCTTTACTTTTCCCAACCCATTCCCCTGGTAACCACCAATCTACCCTCTGAGTTTGACTATTTGAGATACGTCATATAAGTGGAATCTTACAGTATTTGTCCTTTTGTGACTAGGTTATTTCAATAGCATGAAGTCCTCAAGGTTCACCAAGTTTGTTATAAAAAACAGCATTTCCTTCTTTTTTATGCTGAATAACATTCCATTGTATTTATATATAACATTTTCTTATTCATTCATCTGTTGATGGACATTTAGGTTGTTTCCAAATCTTGGTTATTGTAAATAACTAAAAAGGAATTAAATATTTAAATCCATGTTACCCAATACCCTTCTAGAGGCTTGCTTTCTCCTTCCTTCTTTCCTTCCTTCCTTTTATTTTTTTAAAATAAACTTTATTTATTTTTGAGAGAGAGAGAGAGGGAGCAGGGGAGGGGCAGAGAGGGAGGGAGACAGAGAATCCCAAGCAGGCTCCACTCTGACTGACAGGGGGCTCAAAAGCACCAATCATTAGATCATGACCCCAGCCTAAGGAAGAGTCCTGTGCTTAAGGGACTGAGCCACCTAGGTGCCCCTCTCCTTCCTTCCTTTTAAGAGAAGGCTGTACCTTTATTGGCAAGCAGGCTATAAAGCTACTGCGGTGGGTGGCTCATTGGGCCAACCATGGTTTTAAGCCTCAGGTAGTATTCAATCATCTCAGGCTGGTCTTCCACCTGGTTGAAGGCCGGGCTGTTGCAGAAGCCCACTACCTGGGGCTGGGGTCCAGATAGGCCCGCAGGTGCATTTTCCCACCTGGCCGCCTCCCAGGGCGGTGCCTCGCTGCGCGCTCTGCGCAGGCGCTGTAGCCGGGCGTCTGCTTCCTCCTCCAGCTCTGGCGGGTCCCAGAGCGCCAAGGCAGCCTCAGCCGGGGTAGGCTGTGTCGAGCTCCACACCAAGGTAGGTGAACTTGCCCAAGTTCCACTTCTTCCCCGGCTCCACTTCCGTCATCTTGTCTGTTCTTCGGGAAACTTGTTTCCACCGCATTTGTTTCACATATAAAT